AAAAACAAAAATAAAAAGCGGGATATTTCAATTGTATAATTCTCATATATTTAATTTATATAATATATGTAAATGGTACAGAAATTAATTACATAAAGTATTCGTTTAAATAATTAAAACATGCTTAAATAATATTTGAACATAATTATAAAAAAATACCATAGAAAAATATTAATAAAACAGCATATAATTAAATACAATAATATATTCATATAAACAATATGTAGCAAATAAAATTTATGTAACACATATACAATGAAGAGAAAAAAATAATAATAATAATAATGCGAAGAGCGTGAAACATTAAGAAGAAAAACTTAACATGAAGAAGTGTCGAAGCGACTGTGAATTAACTAAGGGCTCATTGCTGAGGTTAGAATTTAAATTATTTATAATTTTTTTCTTTGCAGGACACAAATGTTTTTTTTTTGTAATTTTCGAAGACTGCAGCCACTTCAACACTTCCAATTTCTTAAATATACAATGTGTATGAAGTTAACATTTCGTTGCGTGTTTTAAAATATAAATTATTACATAAATACAAATTATGCAAATACGTAGAGTTTTTTGTTGTTGTTACAACATATTTGCAAATTTTTTTCTACAGAATTTTTTTTTTTAATATTTCTCCTCTTTATTGTTTGTTTCTTATTTTATTTAATATGTTGTTTTAGAGCGAAATAATTGAGACAAAGTGAGAGGACTTTGCTGAGGTGACTGAAAAAAAGTGTTAAGCTATTTGCGACTCTATACGAAATGGTGTAAGCATCGTCGAATTTTAGGTGTAAGACTTCACAACACCGTTGACCACTTCATAGACACGTGTGCCAAGCTTTTAAAAGCTCTGTTTATGATTTCTATATGGCAGGCAAAAATAAAAGCTTTCTGTGAACGACATTGCTTTAAAAAAATTAACTGCAAATACATTTCCAGAGGCTTTATTTAATAAAGTTTTGTCAATTTTTTGAGTACCGGAAAGTTGCACGATTGTATATTCGTTTCTAGTTTTAAAGTCTCAAATTTGTTTTTTTAAAAGAGGATGAAAGTGCAAAGCGTAGATCAAATGATTACGGAATACAGATAAAATTTCCATAACTCGAAAGTATGGAAGCATGTGAAATAATTAATTAATTTTCAAAAATGCGAGCTTTAATTTTTCTAAAATTAGTCTCTGAATATGGCCATTCGCAGGTATAAGCTTTCGGAGTAACAGATCTTGTATTGGGTAATTTTTTGTTTGCATTGCCCTCCTACAACTCTTTCAGCTGCCCGTCAAAGTCCTCGAAATCAAATCTTTGTTTACACTAGTACCGTACCTTCTCTTCCATCATTTTGCTAACTCAATATTGCTAAACCGTTAGTATTTGTATGTCTGTGTGTGTGTGTGCTATGCTTCTTAAAATGTTTTTGTGTGTTTCCTTTGACTAAATTTTCTGTTGGACTAATGCGGTTTATTGAAGTTTCCATTAAATATTTTTTAATATTTTTTTAAGTAGTATTAATAGTAGTAGTAGGTAATGCTTTTGTGGTTGTTTTTTTTTTGCAAAATTTCTATGTATCAAAGTATTAAAATATTTTTTTTTTTTAGTTTTTGCTTATTTCGCTTTTTTGTAAGTGATTTATTTATGCAAAATTTTGGTGTTTTATGTTTAACGTTTCGTTTTAGTGAAACTGTTAGCCAACGCTTGTTGTTAGAAAAAAGTGACAAAATGTTGCTCAGACTCGGCGTGTCAATGGATTGCCATATTGCCTTTCTCCCTTTAATCCCCTTTTTGTAGAAAAAAAGTACACAAACTGCATTTCTTTAAAATCCTTACTTTCGAGCACAAAACTCAATTTTCTTTTAACCCCAACACATTTCTGCTAATTATTGCAATTACTATTTTTTTGTTTTTAGTTTTTCTTTCACACTCATTTAAGCTAAAATAGTTTTAAAATTATGTTAAAAGCAGCAGCTGCTAATTGCCAGCAGCACAATTCTCAACTTTGCTCATAGCACAGGTCGTCATCCTTTGCTTGCGTTCACTTTCGCTCACTTCCTGTGTTCTCTCTCTCACACTTCCTGTGTTTTATTTACTTCTTCCTCTTGTATGCCCCCCATCGACTCAAGCATACGACATTGCGTCACCATTCTTCAAGCTTTCACTGCTCTTCTCCTTGCTAATACTATTCGCCGTGGTCGTCGTCGTTTTCTTGCCATCGCCTGACGCTGCATCCTTGTCTGTCGCCTTGGCATCTGCTGCATTCAACGCCTGTCGCGCCAACTTATGAATATGCGGTGATGATGGTGAGGTCAATGTGATTCTACAATAAGAAAAAGCTTTTGTTTTTGTATACACACAAAACGTATATCGGAAAGTGAGTGGACCACGAAAAAAGTGGTGGGTGGGGAAAGCGTGAGATTTGTGAAGAAAGTCAAATGAAAAAAGAAAACAACAAATCGAACGAAATGAACGTATGACATTCAATAAAGAAGCCAATAACGTAAACGCAAAAAAAGCCAATATAAATGAGAGTTAGCGTGCCAGGATGTGAATGAGCGGTTGACAATATGATATTGTTTGTATGTTTTAGTTAATGTGCCAAAAAAGCGAATGGAGTATGTAGTTAGGTTGGTGGTATTGGCAAAGGCAGTATAGCAGGAATGGAGTGAAGTGGAGTGGGTTGTTTAGGTGTTGAGGTGATGGTGTATAAGTGGAATACTTGATTAGAATCAAAAAATATAGATAAAATAAGTACAATTAATATAGAAATATATGTAATTGGTTAGTTTTACTTAAAATTAGATAAATAAAATACAAATTTTTACAGAATTTTTTCATTAATTGATTTAGTTGGCAAAACTGTACTCTTTTATTTCGATTTTTAACTTTAAGATAAGTGAAGGTCTCGAAATCCGACGTTGAATTTTCGATTGGCTAAAAATTAGACAAATGAAAACCATATGCCTTTGTCACAGCGACGAGTTACAAACAACAAATTTCAGTACAAAAATTGAAAGCTTGTTTTGAAGCAAGTGGCTGCTTATTTAAAATGCATACTTTAATAAAAAAACTATGCCAGCCATGGGTCGTGGTATGCACTTAGGACCTGCTCAGTAAAAAAGCTAATACAATTATAAAGCTAAAATCGGACGGGCATAAAGAAGTAAGCAGCATGCGATATCGAACATAGCTGCCCTGAGATGGCGTACAAATTTGATGCGTTTTATGGTTCATCGGGTGTCCAGAATAAATTATATGTCGGATAGTCAGGCAGTATTAAAGGCTTTGCAACGACGTAAGGGCTTTTGGACAGTAACAAACAATCAAGGACTGTTAAAAAAACGACACAGATTTCGATCTCAGACTATCACTCTAACTGTAATACTGAAACTACTTATGGCACTTTTAATGCTGTTAAAACAAAAACAACATGACTGAAAAAGGATCCTGTAAAAGAATTTTCGGAAGTTATAAATGGACATATTTATTTTTTTTAGACTATTTTGACATGGTTTTCTTGTTACGATATTTAAAAGGTTATCTATGGTAAACTTTTTTCATACACTTTTTATAATTTATATCATTCTACAACAAAAACAAAGCAAATAAAAATTTCACACTTTGTAGAAAATTTAGAAAAAATCAGCAAATTTATATTAAAATTTCAAACTTTTTAATCAGAATTTTTCAAAAAAAAATCTGGTATGCAATTTTATAGCCCATTAAATTTTAGTATAAATAGTGGAACTATTAAGTAGCTCAAAAATTCCCTACGATTTTTTATAATTATTACTATATTTTTTTATGACGATGTTGAGCATTTTCTTTCAAAACTGAACAAAATTTCAACTTGCAATTTAAAACTTGCACTTTTTATACTAGAATTATATGTATTTTGTAAATTTTTTTTTTTGATAACGGTGTTAAGCATTTTCTTTCAAAAACGGAATTTTCAGCCACTTAAAACTTACACTTTTTATGCTAGTATTAAGTGTGCACACTTGATTTTTTTGTAAAAAATCTTATGAAAAGTTTGAAAAAATTTGCTGAAGTTTACTTAATTTTCTCTAAAGTTTGAAATTTTGGTTTACATGGTTTTTTGTTGCAGAAAAAAATGTTTCATGAAAACTTTTTAAATATCGTTAAAAAATCAATGCAAAATACTTTTGAGAGACACTACATAGCAGAAATTATTCCATCGGGAATCATAAAGAGGAAATTCGTAATAAATTAGGAAACGTTTTTGTGGCCGATCGAATGAAAAGTAAGGTTATAAGCTATATTAACGTTCCACATATGTATTAAATACAGCTTCAAAGCTAAACACAAGCCACAGATCGTTTTACGAGAATGCCAAGCATATCCGAACCTAACCAAAACGGAATGAAATTTTTTTGATTCAAAAATTTAAGAAATTTTGACGGTACGACTCGATATGATCGATGTTTTAAGGATAGGACAACATTTTCGCGTTAAATTTTATAGTACAAATTCCACAGTGCAATATAGAAATATAAAGTCTTACCAACTAAGCCCTTATTTTTTTTTTCATTTCACCTTAACCTTAACGCTTAAAAATAACTTTACTCTAAAAATATTGCACACCACTATAAAACTAACAGCAAAACACTTACCTCGGACTATTGTCATCCTTTTCATGCACCAACGTTTTAGTCGAGCTCGGACTCATTATTTCACCATTCGTGGTCCGCTTCACTTTAATGGGTCGCAAACGCTCCTCTAAATCGCTCAACGTACCATCTGTGCTTTGTGAATCCTCACTGCAAAAGATATGAAAATGAAGTTGGTGCAAAAAAAGTTCACTCTTCCCTGCCAATAGAATACTCACCTATCGCTCACATCATCATCGCCTTCCTCCATGGCCTGCTGCAAATCGGCAATTCGTTGCAACGCCAGTCGCAAATCATTCTTCAGTGCAGACGACTCGGATTCCACTTGTTCCAGTTTCTTTTCGAGATCTTTGCGTTTCGTCACCGACTCTTGTTCACGTCCCGCCACCACATGATACTCTTCGCGCATATCACGCAAACTCTTTTGTGATTTCTTGAGCGCATCTTGCGCTTGCATTTCACGCCCCTTCGCCTGCGCCACATCGTTCTGTACCTTATCGAGCGTCTCTTTGAGCCGCGTCACTTGCACCTCGAGACGTGTGCGTGTGGCTTGTTCGAGGTCGAGGCGGGATTCTAATTCTTTGGTGCGGAGTTCCAAGCTGTGAGAAGAAATAAGTGCACACACGCAAATGAAATGGAAATATGTAATTAGTCGCACATCGTTACTTACCGCTTCGATAGCATTGCTGTCGATGGATCAGCCATATTCTCTAGATTCTCCAACCGCTGCTGCAGTTCGCTTACTTGCTCCTTGAGATTATTGCGTTCTGCCTCCAGCTCGGACAGTTTGAACTCATACTCGGAAGCTGCAATCTGTTCGGTATTCAACTGCTTTACAGCCGCGCTATATTTCTTCATCAACTCAGCCAGTTCCTCTTCATTCTCTTCAATCTGCGCCTGCAATTCGGCACGATCACGATGTGCAGCATTGGCGCGCTCTTCGGCATCGTTGCGACCACGCTGTGATTCCTCGAACATTGCTTGCACTTCGGCTAGTTCCGCTTCGGCTGCTTGACGTGCCTTCATGGCAAGCGTGCGCGCCGATTCGGCGTCCTCGAGTTGGTTGCGTAACTGCCGTATGAGCGCCTTGCCAGGCGTTTCTGCTTTTGAACGTTCCAATTGCGCTTGCGCATCCTTCAACAGCGCTTTGTATTTGCGTAGATCGCGTTTTAGTTTCTGTGTAGCAGCCTCTTCGGCTTGGCGATCCATGCGATCTTGATCCTCCATCGAAGATAGGCGTCGCTCGAGTTCGTGCTTCTCGCGCAACAACAAAGTGCGTTCTTCATGCTCTGTCTCCAGTTGGCATTCCAAAGCTGTAAGCAAAAGTTGCCGAGTTTAGAAAAAGGAGAATAAAACAAAATTTTAAATTGCGATTAGAATAAGTGCTTACACACCTTTAATCTTCTTATAGGAGCTGTTGCGCGCCTCCTCCAACTCATCGTCACGTTGTTGCGTCTCTCGTCGTGCTTCCTTTCGCATTGTCTCCAGCGTCATTTCCAAACGCAATTTGGCTTGTTCAAGCAATTGCACCTGCCCTGCCATCTCATCCAGTTCTTCCTCTTGCTCTTTGACACGTCGATCCAATTCATTTTTGGAACGACGCAGCTGTGCGATTTCCTCTTCGGTGCTGCCACCGAAAGTCATCTCTTCCAGTTCACGCTGTAGCGACGCCAGCTTCTCTTCCTTGAGTTCGAGCTCAAGACGAGTGTCCTGAAATATAAGAGAAGGAAAGTTAGTTAATACACATAAAAGCGAATACTGTGGGATTTATAGACAGAGATCACGACAATTATATAAAACACAAAAAATACTTTCATTTCTACCCTGGAGAAAAACAATCACAAAAGTAGTTGGAGAAAAGAAAGTTAGGACATGATAGCTGTTTAGGCGCGTCTGCTAACGCCAGGCGCCTAAATACATGCTATGTACTGCTGTATGTGCAAAAATTTCCTTTATGCAATTTGTGAAATTGTTGCACATGCACTTCTCAACTGCCATGTAATTGAACTTTCTTAAGTTTTGATTAGATGGCACTTCAAAGTATGCTCGGCCTAGTCTGATGCATCCTCCGGACACTGCTTCCGGAGCATTTTGCGGACTCTGCATGACTTACAACCATGCAGAGGTGGCAAACGAACTTTGCCATTGGCCACAGTGCCTAGTCAGGAAGGCGGAAGCGGAACGATATGCCTAACTGCTCCGAATAAAGCCCACCACCAACTGTTTTTTGTTGAGCCTCGATCCGTCCTAATAATGTAAAATAAAAACTCCCAAAAATACTTAAATATCAATTGCCCCTTTAACGTCAAATAATGCGGTAGATTTTAACAGCAGATTATTGCAGACAAGACAGGAGATACTTAAGTTTAATCGGTTGGTAAATCAACATTTAAGACACTCCAGCTTATTAATGGCCTTCGGTTCCGCCTTACTAACCATTACAGTACAAGTATTTACACATCAGCCACTAACTTTTCAACACACTAATAATGAGCTCCATTTCACCGTTAAACGTAAACAACCGTAAAATGGAACGGGCGTTGAAACGCATCAGTCAACAGCGACGATTCTGCGAAAATGTTGCGCAATAATTAGAACAAGAAGTTTCCAGTTAAATAAAACAAACAAAGCAGAATGAAGGAATGAATGGAGTTAAAAAAAAAAAACATGTGGCACGTCGTTACTCCACTTAAAAGAAGACATCACAAAATGAGCCGGTTGACCGGTTTTAAGTTGCATACGCGCGCGTGCCCAACATTACGCCACTAACGCGAAACATCAACGCTTGCTGGGATGAGGTAGGGAAAAGCGTGCAGTCCCCGTTCGGTCATGGTTTCGGTGGCTCTACGCTGCAGCAACAAGTCATGCGTTCAGTTGCCGGCATGTCTAATAGTGTAATCGATCAACCAACTATGGTCACGGCTGCCAATAACTGATGCCGCTGCTGCCGCTGTTACTGCTGCTACTGGCGCTCCAGTTCAATGGTCGTCCCCTTGACCACTTGGTTGGCTGGCTGGCGCATTCATGAACTCCATTTTGCACATTACGGTTTGTAAACGCAGCGTTTTCTGCTTTCTGCTTCGCGATAATTGTCTTTTGTCTTTAGAGTTGTGGGCCAGTGGGCCGCTACCACAGCAAATTTATTTATGTACATAACTGCAGCTTAACGGTTTATCTAATTGTCATTGGTTAGCTTGTTGAGCTAAAAGCATACGTACGTATGCTCAAAGTATTTAATTAATTAAGATAATCTCTTACCATTTAAAAAGAGACAATGTGGAACAAACGAATTAACGCATAGCGCTTAACACTTTTAAAGAAAATTACTGTAATAATAGTCGCCTTCCTCCATTTGTTATGCGCGAGTGTAGAAGAAAGTATGCAACAGCAGCAATTTTCAATGGAAAAAGGTTAAGCTAATTTAATGTGAGACGAGAAAATAAACGAAAAAATTATGCATTTAAATAAATTGTGAATTTTAGAGAGTAATTAAAGAAGTGATCTCTGGGCAATTGAATGTATGTATGTATGTAGGTATGTATGTTCATTCAAGTACATCCAAATACAATTTAAGTAAAAGAGCTGCGATCTAAGCCTGGAGCCGCACCAAATGAGCTTCGGTTACAGAAGCACATAATTACAATTTTTATTAAGATAAACTCATGTAAATATGTGCTTTAGGGTGGTCCAAAAAAACACAGGATAATAAACTTATTGAAACTTTACTGCTGCCACCTCCCAGAATTATATGTATTAAAAAGGAAAAACCGCGTTTTTTTCTTTAAGTGAAACTTCTTAATCGAGTTCGGAGATGGTTGCGTTAAATATTTAACACCACGTCATAAAATCTATATCGTTCGTTCGATTTTTAAAAATGAGGTGTCACATGAAAGGGCTTGACCTGCAGATGTGCAGTATGGTTTTAGTCTTTTAAAGGGTTGCCATATATACGAAAATCAAATTCAAATTATTTATTAAGTTAAACGAATTATCCCAATATGGGTATCAAAAGAAATGGTTTTGAATAAGTTGTATTTTCTAGCTAAATGTAGGAGGGTTGCCACCTGTTTCAAAAGTAAAATTTAGTTAAATTATACAAAAGTCTTACGCTTAAAATACTATACAGTACAGAAAGAGCTTACAGAAACACAATTAAAATATTTTTCAGGTGCCTGAAGAGGGTGGCCACCTGTTTAAAAAGTTAAATTCAAATTATTGAAGCAAATCTTATTATTATAGCTCCGTTATGTTTGCGATAAATATTTAACGCCACGGTACAGGTAGCATATGACGGGTATAGAAAACGAATAGCTGCGTTAAACGCCAATTGGGCGGGAAAAGACTAATGCAAAGACAAGAATATAATCAAAAACAAATATAAAGATAAGATGAAGATGAAGATGAAGATAAAGATAAAGATAAAGATGAAGATGAAGTTGAAGATGAAGATGAAGATGAAGATGAAGATGAAGATGAAGATGAAG